AATAATCCAAACAATCGTTCAAAATAGCACCGTAACGATAACTAAATAAAGTTCAAAATACGCCTTGCACGCGACAGTTCACTTGCGGCCCCGTAAGCCTTCAATAAAAATCCTGACGCTAGTAATCACAGGCTTAACCTAAAAAGGCAAACCGAGCTGTGCACATACATAATGCACAATATGCTGATACAAGAGGACTAGAACAAGCCCTTTACACGTTCTTTTCAATGCTTAGGGAGCTTAGAAAAACGGTACAAATGACTTAGGCTCAACCTTATATATTGTTTATTGCCAGGACTAAATTGTGTGTCACTCATTTTCTGCTTTATACACACACATTCCATATTTAAATGCTTTGTATATAATTTTATTAAAAATTTAAGACTTTAGTACTTTATTGGTAAAAAATTGGTGTTTATTATATACTAGAATATAATCTTCCGTCTAGTTAATGGTGAAACTAAGGGTAATCTAATGGGTTAACGAGACGTTCAGGAGTCAGACTCATTTCTGAATGTTACCCTAAAAGTATCGTGTCAGTTTTTTATATTATATATTTCGGTAACTTAAATTCGTTCAAAACTTTTCAGCTAATCAATATAAAATTGCATTATCATTTGTAATTGTAATCGCATTATCGTTCTAGTTTAATGGTACCTAATTTAAAAAAAAATTCTTATAGTCAAGTAGGTGATCAGACTGCCTGACAAACGCCGTCGACTTTTTGGGTCTAAGGCATGCCAGTTTTCTCACAATGTTTTCGAGCGAGAATTAACGCACAAGACAGAAAGTCCATTGGTGCAGACGGGGATCGAAAATACGACCTCAGGGATGCCACTTACAGTCGCACGCTGAAGCCACTAGGCCCTCACAATGTATTTCATCCACCCAATATATCAGTTCTAGCCGAGACGGTTCTGACAAAAGACAGGAATTCAGAAAAACCATTATACTGTTTTATCCCAAATAATCTGACTCTTTGTCTTGCCGTTTATTACCTAAGCGTTGAATGAAAAAATCGTTTACTTGAATAATTATCGAGTACATATCTAATTAAATATAACTTAATAAATTAAATATATTGAATTAAAACGACCAATTTCAAACTCCTTTTATTTAAAATGAATTTATTTTCGCGATACGTTTTGGAATTTGACGTCAATTCAATTAAAACACGCTCCGAAAATACATTCGATATTTTAAAACACAGGCTTGGATTGCGTCAAACTTATTAGCTTTATTGAGCCGTATACGTTTTATTCCAAAATTGAATTATTTTACTACCATATTTGCGACAAGGTTCATTGTGATATATTTGCAGTGGTTTTTTATGCTGTGCAATGTGGCGTAAATAACTGCAACGAAGTATTACCTAGTCTTTGGTTATATTAATTCTAATTCCTAAACTTGCCTTTCAAATTTTCTTTAATCCTATTGACCAACCGACACTTTCTAACACCCAATAGCAATGCGCTTTTGATATTGCGACATCAACGTTTAGCTGTCGTACCGCGGGATCCAAAGGTTGTATTATCAGCGCTACTGATATTGCTAGAACGACATAAAATGCATAAAATACCATCGCTATCGCTCCTGCTAGTAACAGAGTACACGCTCTTGTTTTAATTTGTAGAATTTCTCAATTTCTGATTACCCTACGCGGGCAAGAACGCAAGTTTCTATTAAAAGATAGTATGAAGTTTCATGTAATCTTTCTGAAAAACGTGTCATTTATATAATACAAATTAATTTTAAAAATTCCTTAAAATCGAATACAATTTTACAAGCTAAATCTATTAACATTGAATAGACATTAGACAACCCTCTATTATGTGAGCCCTGTCTGCATGTATATAAGTAGATGTTACTACAGAGGCGGCTAACACCCAACTACGCATTTCCAGTATTGGCAGATAAGGTCAAAGTTCACGTTTCTCTAAATATAGAATCAGATAAGTACGATCTGAAAATAGATGTTTGCGTCATTAAAGCTTTCCCAAACGAATTTATTTAGTGCACGCAGAATCAGATTATATTTTTTATTCATTATCTATTGTTTACTGACCACATTCAAATACATACACAATTATAATACATGCACATAACTGTAAATGTAAATTACAGTGTAACCAATGTAAAAACCGAATTGTTTTATTATTCATACACGTGTAGGTACTGTGTTACACAGAAATTGAGGTATAAATTATACACTTTATTATGGCAGTAGCACGTTGATGAAATGTTCCCGAAAACAATGTTATACTATTATAAAATATAACAGATGGAACAACACAAAAAAAGAATAATTAAAACAATAACTTACCTCAAAATATAATAACTAAAATATATTTTTAAAAGGAGTCCCGATAGGCAAGGTTACCGAAGATACTGGCAGCATTCCCCCTTTGAATAGCTAGACTAATCCTTTGTCCGAGGTAGCTGCCAGCTTTTCGGTCTCCTGTGATGTCAACTATTTCCTTAAAAAGCTTTATAGTGCTAGGACCTCACGGACCAAGGGTCTCGACACCGAATGGGACTATTATATTATGAATGTTCTACTATCCATTTCATGCTTCTTTCGAAAATTTTTCGAAAATTTAAATGAACTTTGATGGTGTCACTATAGTATTTTTACGCTAACAAACTCATGGGTCTTGTCATAAACCATGCCCCATTAAAATACTCCTGTTACAACGGTATAAGTGAAGTTAACGACCTTATAATGAGAATGAAGCCTCGCAATTACCTGAATGCTTCCATTAAGGTGACCTATATCGCTTAATGATGTCAGTTATAAAGTATACTCAGAAATGAACAGTATTAGTCTAGTGGTGTATGTGAAAAACCGCGATTCAGCAATGGAATCTGAAATTGCCGTGCCCCCGGCAACTCCGGCAAAAAGAGCCGTAGGTACCGTCCTTTTCTCGAAGAAGTTCCAACGATTTCCGCCCCCATATAACTTCGTTGTGGATAAAATTAGAAGCTTGAATTTATTTAGCCAAGTTACTATATATATTTCAACATTAAAGATTTGTAATAATGTTAATGTTAATATGGTCTGTTTAAGATGTTGTTAGGTCAGTTATTTACGTAATAACTTGAGACAGAAGGTCCCTTAAGTAGGGACTGATTAAATTAACCGAATTGGTGTTACATGGATCTCACAACTTTACGTTAGAAGAACTGACTTGCGAGACTTGTTTTTTTACAAGGTTTTTGATGGCATTTTCTTTACATTGGCGCTATTGAAACTGTAAGTTAAATATCATGAAACCAGAACGGGCAGAACCTTACTTCCAATATAGAAAGCGATACGTTATGTTACTATAGCGTTTTTAAATGTAAGTTCCCTATCCATCTCTGTTCAATAATCGCGCTGATGTCTGAACCATAGAATCACGCGGAACAAAACCTCAACATCGGGATGGCTCTCGGTAGCGCTATAGGTTACAGAGTAATAGCCTCGGGTATAAGACATAATATATCACAGATTCGTGCTTGCCTTTAAAAATGAATTATCAACAGAAATTTATACTCAAAAGACCGTTACAATATCTGTATAGTAAAAATTTTCTGTAATTTTTAAGTAATAATTAAACCATCTTGCTACAGCTACTGTAGCAGAGCAGTGTTGGCCTAGTAGTTTTAGCATGCGACTATCATCCCCGTGTTCGTAGGTTCGAGCACCGATGACACTTTCTTGCACATTTAACACTCGCTGTACAGTGAAGGAAAACATAGTAAGGATCCATGCAGGTTTCCTACTCTTCTCTATGACCTAGACGGCGTCATGCACAAAAGGCTGCTTTTGAAATAGCCTACTTGCCTATTAGAAAAAAAACACACATCTTACAGGCTAGAAGGTTGTTGCGCCATTGTTTTTTTTTAACAGTCCAAAGAATTCAAAGTCGAGATTTAGCTGTGTGACAAAAGCGATTTGATATACGGCCAATGCTATACTAGCTATTTTAGTATATAGTTAGTGACCTATATAAAAAGCTACACATCCATATATACCGGGCTGCCGCAGTGACTTTTACAAAAGCTTTATTGCTCGGCGAAGACACCTCTTGACATTTCGTTTAATAACAATCAACAATGGCGCATGAACTTTCCTGTTGTAGCTATGGCAAAATATCAAATGATTTTGGTATTCACTTTCAGTATTTTTTTTTCATATTGGTAATATGTATTTCTTTATTTCCAATACACAAATGCACAAAAAAGAAGAACAATAAAAACAATATAATATTATTTATAAATAATAAAGGAAGGATTTTCATTTTATTTATTTTTATTATTACTTTGTAGGTTAAGAAAATTGTAAATACTGTATACTTGATTGTAAATAAAAGAAACCTTAGGTCAATCAATCAAAAAAATATTATTATTATTAGTATTTGAATTTCAGTAGGGTCGTGTTTTAACAGACATTGACCAACGCGAAGATATTTACAACTCGAAGTATATATTTATTATTAATAATTATATTTTAAGGTCTGCACTAATTAAGCAACGTAAAAATAACATTCTTTGAATCTAAAACTAAAAACCTTAAAAATATAATATAATAACTAATATATATTATTAAAAGGAGTCCCTTAAGGCAATGTTCCGAAGATAGCGTTCCCCCTTTGAATGGCTAGACAAATTCTTTGTCCGAGGTAATAATATTAATAATTCATTAACAATTTATAAAAATAATTATAATCATATATTATCAAAAGTTATGAATTCTATGATTTTTTAAAGAAATTCTTATATTCTAAAACTATTTTTACTAAAATTGATAGTATGTGTTGTGATGATCAAATACAGGCTCAATAGGTCAAGTTTCAGTTTAGCTTTAACGTGTTGCTTGCTATTAGATAAAAACCCCGATCTGAAAATGCCATAGACCGCATGTTATATATGATCCGGACGCAATACCAAACTTCATAAAGATTAAAATTATCAGAAGAGGTCTAAGGTCATTGTTGAAAAGGTACGCCCTCTGACCTTTAGCTCGTGTGACGTGTTAGCGTTGCCAACACCTGTCTAGGTGAGCCAGCAACGCGGACTGCTGCAATCCAAATCTGCCGCGACGGCGCGAGGCGGACGCATGCGTCGTACGTTCCAAAAAATAAATTCTCCCGCACTGCTCGCTGTACGCTCGTCGGCGCTGCGTGAAAATTACGGCCGCGAGTGTTTATGGGGTGTGGTCGTGAGTGGATGCAGTGATCGCTAGGAGAATGTGTCCAGGGCTGCGTCCGGGCCCTGCCTAGCCAACGGCGGCGGCATGGCGCCCCGCGCCGCCCGCGCCTGTCACCCCTATTACGCACCATGACCGACCTGCAGGCAACCTTCGAGTTCTCCGTTGAACTGTACAAGTTCTACAATGTCGATCTCTTCCAACGAGGGTAAGTAAGAGTAGGATGGGTCTTCTGTGACAGAAGGAAATTTCAGCGGAGAACGTATTTGATAAGTCCACGAGTGATAACAGGTGATAAGGATCGTGACAAAAATTGCATAGAAGATAAATAAATTTCTTTCAAAGAACACAAGAGAACTTTAGTCGCATGATTTCAAAGCATTAAAAAGCTTCTGACATATATTTCTTGCGAGTCTTCAGAATTAGGGCAATAGACATTCGCACAAATCATGTGCCACATCGCTTCGTGTACTAGATAAGACACTTCATATAAGGACTATTATGCAACGTGCTTTTTATTATGTTACATGTATAAAAAAAGGAATACCAATGCCCTACTAATAAATCGTGGTATTGAATTATGGTTTTTTTATTCGAAGTTTAAAGTTATTTCTGACAACGTAAAATTCTCTGTATAGAGAGAAAACCGAAAATAAAATGGATTGAACAGAACCATCTGAAACAAGATTCAGTCTTTTTCATATATAATGCATATACAATAATATTTAAATATAAAAGATAATATGTAAGAGACACAAATCTGCTGTTAACGACGGCTGAGATGTCTATTTCATCGACATGTTTAGGACCGACTTCAGCCAATAAACAATTGTTCGGTAATCGAAATCAAGATTTCACACACTGTACGTAACCAACCACAGACATACATGTGTGTATTACACACACAAACGTAAAATTTTAATTATAATGTCGTGAAATAGGAGTTATATCCTTTGGGAGAGCACCGAGACGGATGGATTTTTAAGTTGATTAGTATAAATTCCAGTAATGGGACACGGGGCAGACAAATTTCTGTACCGTATCACTGATATTCCTTCTGTGCCTGGTACATGATATGGACTTTTCCTTATCAGGTTTTGATTAACCGTACCTACGAGCAAGTGTATTTCCAACATAGCAATGGAGAGTCGATTAAACACTGGAGATATTTAAAACGAGCAGAGGTTAGCTTTCAGAAGTTGTAAAAAACGCTTTAAAAATCAATAATAATAATGATAATAATAATAATCTTTATTTCTTCTCTCACATATACATACAAGGTTATAATGATTAAACTAAGATGATAACATTAGGAAGTGTATGTGGTCTCTGTAACAGGAGAACTGAGTGGCAGATAGCCAGCCTCTCCACCACCGGACCACGTACAATCAGGTCATTGTCATAGGATACAATAGAAGAAAAATAATAACGAAACTCGGACCAAAATTGTGAGTTGACAATTATTCTATAAGGGGTGTTTTTTTCTATTCTGTAGAAAACCTACTTGTACGACTATTATTTTGAATTTAGAATGGTGCTCATGTCTTTATGTAACAATTTTTTGAAATTAAAAACAATATCCCATTCCTACATCTGCAAATAGATTTACTGAGCGTAACAATTCAAGGCTTAAATTTTATTGAATTGCAGCTTGACGTAATGACGTTATTACGTTAACTGTCTCAAAATGAGTTACTCCTGTAAGTGCATTTAAAGCGGGAAATTTTATGGCCGAATGGTTTTAAGCCTTTATTCTGTCGACATAAGCAAGAAAATTGCAAAGTTGGAGATGTAAGTAGTTTTAAAATACTTTACTATCTCCATGGTCCAGTGGTGGCTGATATTTAAAATCCCTTGGGGAATTTATAATATCTAGATTATAGAAGCGGCGTGTATTATACAGAGCGTCCCAAGACTATGGGACATCAAGGGAAAAGGGAGGTACTACCTTAAATATCGTCTGATATTTTGCTGAAATAAGTAATAATTTTATTTTGAAAAATAAGTATTACTGCATTAAATGTTTTTCTAAAAATAACTTGTCTCGTCTGGGAATCGAACGGACTCAAATGTGAAAAATACACCACTTTTTTATGACAATCGAAAGAATGGATAAAAAATAATAATAGGTACTTCTTAAGTAACATAGTATTTTAAAAGAAAGGAACAACGTATAATTTTTGAGTCAATTAATTTCAAGAAAATTATCAATCTGTGTGAATTGTCCCGACATATTAATAGTTTAGTTTAAAAAACTTTTTATGTAAAAAGGTATCTTTTGGTTTATATAAGTCGAATGTTAATAGGAAATATTTTAGTTCAAAGTTATTTTTTTTTATTCGTGTTATTGACAGTAACAAGGGAAAAATTCAGTTTCTCACACCCTGTCTTTATCGCCTACGCATCTCTATTCTTAGTTTCGTTTGGACATCTTAAACAACACGAAGTACCATTTATTTATTTTGTATTTATTTATTTTAAATGATGTTGAAGTTAAATGCTACTTATAATTATTATACATAAAAAATATAACAAAATAACTTGCCAAACAACTAAACTACTTCTCCAAATCAAACCATATTCATATCATATTTATCAAAGCTAGTAGATATAAGACTTCCACTGGTTGGTTGAATCAAAAACAATAAATTTATAAACTATAGAAATTTCAAATAAATTAAATAATTAGTAGGTTGTGGGCGTGTCTATGTAATAAATTAAAAATTAAAACAAATTATAAAACTTTGGTCCGTGTAGCAGTGTACCTTTAATGCTGGCAGCATTTTCTCACTGTATTATTACGTTGAGATACTTATTCGTTGAGCGAGGAAAGCACCAGTACATATCACAATCCTTCTGATATAAGCTCAGGAGACGCAGGATTTTTATATACCGGATTTCTTCATCCAAATAAATAAAGTAAAATAGCCTTCCGGTAAACCAACAAGAATAAGAGTTTAGGTATTTGTCCAATATATACATAAACCTCTAAGCCACCGAGGTTGTAATAACAATATCTAATCTGTTTATTGCCTTGGCTCAATATTAATGTCGAATAAAACTTGACCGTTAACACCTTCCCGTAGCAATAACCTAATTATTGGCACCTCGCCAAAATACCGTAAATGTTTTGAGAGTCTATTGCTAGTTACAGCTGTAACATGTGTTATATTTAACAAATTCACGAAAGCACTTCGTACCACGAAACATTTATTTTTGTTACACTAGTCCATAGAATCAATCCTGAACCTGTCGTTTTAGTTACCATTTAAACAATTACAAGGAATATGTATGAATGAACTTGGATACATAATTAAAGGGACATAAGACAGTTCCCCTGTAAACACAGATTTTTTTAAATTCATAAATCTCAAACCCCTCCCCCCGTTTCTTGCTACTAATAAACTGAAAAGTTACGAATGAAAATCACAAAGCAAATTTACACAATTCAATTTGGCCGGCAACGCACTTGCGAGCCTCCTGGGAATGTGAGTGTTCATGGGTGGCTGTACCATCAGATTAGCCATACAGTCACTGTAGGCGAATGAAGGGGTCTCTGATGCTTGCGTTTCGGATTCGTTTCACTCCAGTAGCGGCAATTCTACTTATTTACGTGTCCATTATGATGAAAATGAGCTTCATCCGAAAACACGATGAAGTTGGTTAACGTTGAAAAGCGCTCAGTTACCTGATTTTCGAAGTCAAGCCTAACTGGCATCTTGGGGCTTTAATTCTTTAATTTTGTAGGGGTGTTTAGGTCTTTGCGTAAAATGCGGTGTAATGTATGCACATTTAAAGCACTAGCGCAAATAAAGCCTAAATGTGAGACACCAATTTCTTTTGAGACACCTGTTATTTGCGCGTAGGATTTTATAGTAATATACTAGCTGCCCCCGCGATATTAGGGTTGTATGTATTTTTTAATGGCTCATTATAAATAAATTAAAAATTAAAATTTCGCCCAAAAAATAAAATGTTAGGGGTGGACACAACCCTTATCACTTAGGGGTATGAAAAATAGATAGTAGCCGATTCTCAGACCTACTGAATATGCATATAAAATTAGATAAAAATCGGTCAAGCCGTTTCGGAGGAGTATGGTAACTAACATTGTCACAAGAGAATTTTATATATAAGATTATGATCTCCTTCTTTACATTTCCAGAGAATAGTGGATGTTGGTACTCATAAACCGAAGTACCGTATAGGACTGAAAAAAAGCAAAAAGTGAATGACCTCTATTCAAACAATGCTTCCAACTTGCACGATACAGCTAATATTTACCTAGTATTTCTTGACATGACCCATTTCTATCCAACAACACATAGACAAACTGTTTGCTACTAAAATGTTCATAGACAATCCTGCATAGCTATTTTCTAGAAGGTTTTTAAATTGATGTGTGAAATGTGTTAATATTGTATCGTAAAGTGGGCTGCGGGAGATATATTGATTGAGGAAAGATAAAACAGTTGAACGGTTGACTATTTGTAAATAAACAAAGTTCAGTTATCAGTTACGTTAAATTGAGAGTAATCTATTAGTAATCCATGTTAAATCTTGTACTATGTAATCAAGCGGCGCAGTTAATGCAGTTTGTATAGAACTACTTCAATAATAAACGCTTTGCTAGCATTAGTACAGAAAGCGATTAAAGAATTGAAGCGAGTATATTATTATTTATTTCGTTGCATTAACATAACAAAAATTAAACATAATTAAATGAAAAGGAAGGCAACTCGCGGCTTTATCACTTTCGAGCGATCTCTTCCAGGCAACCACTGTGAAAATAAAAAAAAATATGTCTTAAATTATATAAGGTAAGCAAGAATTGCAAAATATTAATTTAATAAATATTCGATATTCTTATAGGCATGAGTGCTACCGAACAAAGAACATGCTTACTCAGTAATTTCCAATAGCAATACTGACATCAAAAGAACTACATCGAAATTGAATTGATCGTTAAATTACAACAGCGCAATTGTAGCTTTCGTAGCGGCAGCGAACTTTCGTACCAATACTGACGCTTTTGAATGAAGTTCTCTCAATATCCGTAGCTGATATCCCAACCTGGGTTCGCGCCTACAAAAACTCATTATTGAGATCGGGTACGCAATCAATACCGCTATT